TGGGCGCACGTGAGGGGCGAAGGAGCGGGGGGGGTACGAGGGGTCACCCCGCTCCCAGCGTCGCTTTCACCGGAGCCCGCCCAGGTGAGGGGCTAAGAGTGCACACCTGGGGAGGGGTGGCCACCCGCACCCACCGCTCGGAGCTTCATCTCTCTTCTCCCTTACTTTAGGAGAGGGTTCAGGTCTCCAGGCGGTGAGCATCGGGGGTCCGACATGGCTAGAGGGAGCCCGGCGCCGTGGGTGCTGCCCTGGCTCTGCTTGGTGCTGGCGGTGCGCTCGGGCGAAGGGCAGGAGGAGAAAAAACCCTTCGGTGAAACGTGCCTGGAGGACTTCACGTCAGGGATGCCGGATTTGGTGCTGGATACCGACGCCTCCGTCCAGAATGGAGCCACCTTCTTGTCGTCGCCGACTGTCCGTCGGAGCAGGGACTGCGTGAGAGCCTGCTGTAAGGACCCGGCTTGTAACCTGGCTCTCGTGGAGCAGGTCCCAGGCACGGAAGAAGACCACATCCAGGGCTGTTTCCTCCTCAACTGCCTCTACGAGCAGGCTTTCGTCTGCAGGTTTGCCAGGAAGATCGGCTTTCTCAACTTCTTGAGGAAGGACGTGTACGATTCCTACCTGGCAATGCAGAATCACGGATCTAGTGGTAAGGTGCCCGGAGTGGATGTTTGGAAGAGCACTGACGGCCGCTGGTGCCAGCTCCTCCAGCCATCGTTTGTGAAGTTGTGCTGCTGAACAGTTGGGATAAAGCGGTGTGAGAGATGGGGCTTCTCTGTGTCCCTCTGCTGCAAAGGTTTTCCCTAACTTTCACGAACTCGCGTAAGATCTGTGCCTCAGTTTACCTGTTAGCAAAGCGAGAGGAAACTGTTCTTTAACCTGATTGAAGCGGGTGGAGTGAGTGTTTACCAAAGGCAGGCTGTGTTTTCCATACTTAACAACGTAGAGAAAAAGGTGGTGTTTTTCTTCTCCCTCTCCCCAAGCCTTTGAGGTTGGAAAGTGAAATCCTCTGAAAAACTACCCATCACCGCGTTTTAAAGGGCTGCATTAAGCTCTTAATTGCTCAGGGGCTGGAGGCAGGACGCAATCCACTTACTTTTCATTTTGCCACAGCTCAAATCTTGTGAGCAGCAGCTGGGATAGCGAGGTGTCTCGGTCTCGCTCTACTTGTTGGGGCTGGTCTTCCCTGCGAGGGCGCAGCTGGAGGGAGGCTGATTAGAAAACTCCCCCTTTGGGGATGAGTTTCCCTTCCCCAATCCCTGGGTCTCTGCTCTGGACAATTGCATGTGGACCCAGAAGACCCGGTGGGAAACAAACTAATCTGGAGCTGGCCACGCACCTTGCTGTTTCCAGAGAAATGCAGTGTTCAGAAACGCTGAAAACATGGCAGTTCCTCCTTTTGACTCCTTTCTCTGTGTTTTAGAGGAAGCTTAATGACGCTGGGACGTGCCTAGCCTGGCTGGGACTTTGGCAGCCATAATCAGTTTATTATATGTTGGTGCATAGGCAGGGCTGTTAGGGGATACCCATACGGGTAACCCTCCTCCCAGCCCACCTGTGGTGGGGATGGAAAGCATCTGTGAGGATGACAAGGGGAGCTGGGCTGCATGAGTTTAAAAGGGCTTTGATCTTCTGCTGATATGTGCCAGCCTGCGAGCCTTGCGGGTGCTGGAGGTGAGAAATGGCACTAAACCCCACACTGACCACTTTTGTCTGTCCTAAGTGCAGTGCAGGGGTTTTGGAGCAGGGCTTGGCTTCTGTGGAGCAGCCCTTGGGTGTCACTGGTTTGAGCAGAAGTGGCTCTCCTGTCCTCTGTCCCTGCTAGTCGCTTCTCACCCCATTTGAGGGCCTTCTGGTAAATCTGTTTCCCTGTTGCAGTAGTTGTCCTGCATTTCTGGTGCAGACTCCAAATCCTTTCCATGGGAGCTGCAGTTCATGAGGACCTGAAGCCCACATCTCCAGGTGGCATGCTGGCAGCTGTCTGAACTCCTACATGCTTTGTTGTAGGAGGAAAAGGGAATGCATCATCTCCAGTACATCCTGATTTCACAAGATTAGATTAAAATACAACGTGCTGTTGAGCAATTCAGTCTCTTCACCTCTGTGGATGCCATACAAGGAGACTGTAACCCCCCACTCCCACCTCCCGGGGCTGGTCACAGCGCCTGGCATCGCATGTGTTGGGGTCTCTAGAAAGCGTCCCTGGGTCACTGAGCTCTCCGTGCCACCAGCAGTGCTGCGTTTACAACTGCATGGCACCTGGCTGGAGCACCTCAACCACAAGAGCTGCCTTGCAGACCATCCCTGGTGCTGCTCTCACAGATGCTGGGATGGCTGGGGTGGAGCAGGAAGACCCAGGAGGGTTTATCGGTGAGAAGTGAAAAAACATGCCAGAAATGCTGTTAGGGATACTCTGCCTGCCGAGGCGGGCATGCCCCTCCTCGCTCACGTGGGGGTTTGCGCCACAATACCGCTGCAGGTGTAGGAAGGGCTCGATCCCTTCTGCAACCCATGTCTGCACTCTTGGAGGGTGCAGGGTGCCAGGCCGGTCTCCAGCTGGAGTGACAGACCCTGGGAAGCTCTCTCCTTCAGGTTTGGATCAGGCTGTGGTGTTCGTGCTGTGCTTTGATGGGAAATGTGTTTCCCTCCTCTCCTGGAATTTTTAGGCATTGTCTTTGACTGATGCCCAAAGCTTTGTGAATCACCCTGAATGACATCACAAGCCTGGCAGGAAAAGAGATGAAAGACTATTTATTAATCCAGAGCTGGAAAGGAGTTATTTTACTGGAGAAATCACAAATAATAACAAGAGGTAAATCAGACCATACAAGCTGGGCCCTCCTCCCCACAGCAACTTGATGAGACACTGGAGAATGCAGATCTCAGTTTTGGCTCAGATCCAAAGAAAAAAGTCCAAACCAAAACCCCAAGCCCCTCCAGCTGGAATTGGATCCACACGGGAGGAATGGGCCTGTCTGGGCAGGAAAGCAGGTGCTTGGCTGCCACTGAGGGGGATCGGGGATGGGTGCGAGGGTGCAGGTGCAGGGGGCCAAAAGAAGGAGCCTCTGGGCACTGAGCGTGTCCTCCTGGCAGAATAAGGAAGCTCTACAGCATTTTTGCTTCTGGACCTTTTGAGGATGACTGAAGAGGCCAGGTGAAATGAGTGTTAAGGAAGTTGTTTTCGAGGTGTCAGGTTTTCTTCCCAGATGCTTATAGGCAGAAAATCTTGGCCCAGGTTTTGGACTGGAGACAAAACTTCCCACTGTTGTGCTCTATCACTGTTAAAATGTGAAGCTCCAAGCCTGCTCTGGAGCCCAGGTTATTGTCACCTCCCTGAGACTGGCTCTAAAGGTCTGCAGGAAGTCGATATGCTGCTTTGTCATTCCTCACCCTCCTTTATGTGCTGCTGTTAGGTGTCCCAGGAGCTTTTAGGGCATGCCCATGTGGCAATCTTCAGAGGTCTCTACAATAATAAGGATTAAAAGCATGTTTTTTCTAGTGGATAGCAAAATGTATGTTTAATGATTCCAGTGGAGGGCGTTAAAGAAAAAAGCCACACATCGCAAGACCCATCCTGCTGCTACAGGGAGCAGACCTGTTGAATTAAGAGATTTATGTTTGTCCAGGAGGAGACTAGATAACACTTGAAAGAGGGAGCACAGCTGGGGGCTGCTGAATTGACAAATTTACTCGTAGAGTGTTTCCAGAGCCTGATGGAAGTAACTGAAAGCTGGGAAAGTATGATGGAGGAAGCACTGTATATGCTTGCCCTGTTCTTGCTCTTACTCGAGCATCCACAGAGAGACTGTTGGCGACTGAACACAGGACAGAGGCATCTTTGCGTGGGTTCACTGCAGCCACCCTTACAGTGTCATGACTTCAGAAAAACCTGCAACAATTAATTCAGCTGAAATCTAGCTTCTGCACGTTATCAGAGTATTTCTGAGTCGTTTGTAAGCTGGTGACGACAGCCTGGCTCTGTCTCTTGCCTATTGCAGCTAATGCACAGCCCAAAGTCTCTGATGTTATTGTTAAAAGGCGCTATCCCCTTAAATGATTCCTCAGCCTGAACTTTGGTGCGAGTTTTCTGCCTGGCTCACACGGGAGGGGCAGGCTCACCATGCACTTTATTGGTAATAATGGAGCCCAGTGTTTAAGTTAACTACGCCGAGCTTATTCTGGTCTAGGCAAACCAGTTCTGGGTGTGAAACTGGAAAATAACCTCCCTGAACCTTTGTCCGTTTCTTGAACCGAACCTTTTGTGGTGGTTGTGAAATGCTCGGTGACACTCTCCTCCTCCTGCTTTTTTTGTGAGTGGGAGATGGGAAACACTGGGGTACTGCAAGGTTCAGGGTGTGTCTGCTCCTGCCTCGCTGTGGAGAGAGATTTGCAGGTTAAAACTTCAGTAAGGCATTCAAAAAGGAGATCTCCCGGAATCGGAGGCTTATCCCTCTTCAAATGTTTGGTCCCATGCTGGTTTCTGATCTGCGGGCACAGCGTGACTGAAATGAGCCATGCTGGGATCCTGACTGGGGCAGAGACGGGTCCACTCACTGGTGTCCCCTTGGCTGATGCTGCTCAGCCCTGAGCTGAGCCTGCTGCTTGTCTTCCAGCATCCAGCTCAGGCCAGGGGAAGGGGAATTGCATGTTCAATACCCACATCACAGGTTCAGAGGCTAATCTATACTGGCAGAGCCCTCAGAGACCAGCCACTCCAGCTCACTGCTCAGGCAATAAGCAGTGAAGCTACTGTCACAAATTTACTGATATGGCTACCTCCTGTTGTGGCTCTGGTGCTATCTAAGAAGACTCGAGTAACAGAATGATCTTTACTAAAATGGCACAAAGACCTGCGGGTTTTTTTTCTCTGCCCACTAAAGCAAATCAGACTGGTTTCCTACACCCTGAGGATGGGTGGAAGGAGCCTGGGGCAGCAGCAGATTGCATTAATCTGAAAATATCATCCTTTCAGTATTGTTTGGGAGAGGTTAAGTTGACCTGCTGTGCGCACCTTTTACAAACCTCTACAGAAACCTCCGGAAATTAATGCTGAGAGCTGCTTGGCTCTGCATGAGTTGTCCAGAAACTATGTGGTTTTATCGTGACTGCATTTGCTGCCCAACGGGATGAATCTCTAGAGAAAGACCCTGCATTTTTTTTTCTCCAGGCAATGCGTAATTCTCCCTTTCTCCCTCCTCAGGCAAATTAACACTGTGGGGGCAGCATCTCCCGTTCTTACCTTTCCCTGTTACTAAGGAGAGTTTTCTAGTGGGCGAGATTTGAGTGAATCCTCCCTGAAAGCTGCTCATTTTTGAGTGACTTCCCTGGAAGCAAGGTCAGAGCAAAGCTTTAGCATTTGTGGGGTGAGCCGTGCTGCTGCCCACCCCTGCCCACCTGCTTTTGCAGCAGGCAGGCTCAGCTGGCTGCTTCTGACTCTGGAAATCTCCAAGGTTGTGTGTCTTGTGGATGCTGGGATTTTGATGGCCTCATTCCCGCTCCTGTCTCTGCTGCTAGCCTGCCCAGTGGCCTTGAGCAGTGGCTTTTGTCCCCAGTAAAGGTCTTTCCCCTGGTGAGAAGTGTCCCCGCTGCAGACAGCAGTGGCTGCAAGAGCCCCTTGGTGACCCTTAGAAAGTTTTCCAGCTCTTCCTAGTTGCAACCTAAAAACATTCTGAGATATTTTCAAGCATTACCTGATCATCTCACTTACTCAGGGTGTATCTGGCACCAGCCAGCGCTGGAATGGAGGAGATCTGGTTTTCTGTGAATTTGTGTCTTGAGGGCAAGAGCTGTTATCTCAACTGCAAAAGAGAAATCTCCAAGCTAGGAGCTTTGCAAGCGCTTTCTGCCCTGGGATTTCACTGGTGCCTGCAGGTTTGGGTAGTGAGGTCCCTAGTAGGGTCTCTCCCCCCGCCTAGATGCTGAGTGTTGAAGCCCTTGTAGGAATTTAATATCTTTTAGATTCCTGTTCCCCCATCAAATTGGGTTCAAATTTACTTATTATTAGAGGCGAAGCCAGTAAAAGCACTGTATGCACAAGCCTCAAAACTAGGTAAAATTTTTAAAAAAGAAAAACCCTAAAGTACTAAGGCATATAAACCTGCTTTTAAGCATTTTTGATTGATCAAACTTTTCTCTGCTATCGTAAAGAAAAGATATTTCACCTTCCAATGTATTTTGTAAATGGAAGTGGAAGTTGTCACTTAATGATGCGACTCCAGAAGAATGTCCTCCCCAGTAAAGAGCGTGGCAGTGAGCAGCATCATAAAGCTTTAATCTCCCTGTTAATTACAGAGTTTTACAGCAGAAACTTTCGATAGTCAAAAGAGCATTATAGCAAAGGTAACTTTCATTTTTCAAACGGGCTTTCGGAGGAAAACAACCCAAATGGAGAATCTCCCTTCTGTGAGCAGGTTATGAAGCTCAGATGGAGAACAGCCACGTTGCCACTGAAGGCTTTATATAGTCAGTGTAGTAGAAATGCTCCAAAGTCACTGAGCTTTCTAGTGTCCTTTTATTTCTAGTGGGAGTGTCCCCTTGGCAGTCACCACAGATAAGCAGATACTCTGACTGTTTTTCTGAAGGTGAGAAGGGTTGGGATATTTGATTAGTCAGAGATAGGATCTGGAGAAGTTGCTGACCCATTGATCAGAACCGAGGTTTTACACTTCACGGTGAAACCCACAATCCGAGGTAACTCAATCGTACATGCTCAGAAGCATACATGGAAGCGTACATGCTTAGAAATGACAAGGAAACATTTGGAGGTGTGAGTTAATGATCAGCCTCTGCGTTACTGAAGAACTGGTCTTTCCCTTGTGCAATTGCACCCGCCTCCCGGGCTCACGCTGGCGGGAGGGTGGCAGGGAGCAGGCTGCATTTCTCCCTGGCAGGCTCATGGCATTCTTCTGGCAGGAATGGCAGGAACGTGCCCCCTTTCCAGAGCTCCTCGTGCTGTCTGCAGCGTGGTGGTGGGGCTGGTTTTCCCTGTTCAGTTTGGAAAGTGTTGCCAGCTCCAGTCATGGCTTTCACCTAGGAATGTTCTCGTGGCAAGACCGCTTGAAAATAAAGCAAAACTCCATTTATTTGTTCTGCTGGCCCTGCTTGGGGTCTTTCAGTAGTCTTTGCGCCTGATTGAGGCAGGACCCATCACTCTGGCATGGAGCCCTGAGGAAGGGGTGGCAGGGACATGTGCCTCACCCAAAGGCGAGAAAACACCAGGGTGGGCGTCTCTCTTTCGGTCCAGCTGGATCTTCTCTGCCTCCTTTGGTGGTTGGATCAAACCCAACAATATGAGCTTGATCCCATATTGTTCCCACCTGAGACTTAAATGAAAAGATGGAATAAAAAAATGAAGCCAATGACAGACTGCAGTGAGCTCACAGGCTGGTGTGATGAATGTAACCAGAAGCCCTGCAGTTGCACAAGCTAGAAGTGTCTGACCTCTTCTCACGCAGTAACACCGCAGCCCCGTCAGCCTGGCTGGGAGGAAAGCTGAGGTTCTGCCATGCACACAAGGATAGAATGTATTCGTTGCTAAAAGATACTGGAAAATAGGAAATTCTGGGTGTTAAGTGATCTGGAATACGTGCTGCAAAGCCCCTCTATCCTACTGAATTTAGTGATGAAAGATCTAAAAAGTAGCTGGTTTTGAATGTCAGGTTTGTTTGTATATATGCCTTGTATTTAACGTGCTTTCAGCAGGCTCTAGCAAGAATCAGCAGCTGGAACCTGAATCCAGAAACATTCACAACGGGAAATCAGGAGCAAGTTGACAAGAGTGAAAATAATTAGCTGATGGAGTAGTTTTCTAAGGGCTTTGAGCACTAATTTTCTTCTTCAGTCACAGTCGATATAACTGTGTAATGGCAGAGTGATTTATAGCTAGCTTATAAATGACGATCGATGCCTTTTACCAAAGGCTCGGCTTGAACCTGAACATTGAGTCTTGGACTTGGCACGGGCGCTAGCAGGTGGAGTTTTATGGCCTGAGCTATGCAGGAAGCCTGTGATCAGAGACATTCGGACCTAAAGGAGTTATAAGTCAGGCTCAATGGTGTCATTGTATAGGCTGTTCTGGCTGGCACAGGCAGGGACGAGTTTTTATGTATTACAGTCTGGAAAAGCATTTACTGGATTGTAGAAGCAGCCGGCAAGCTAATTGATGGAATAGCACAAAAACAATCTCATGAATGGCATTTGTGTGCTTTTTTAAGGCATGTATGTCAGAGAATGGGGTGGAAGATTGAGGTGGAGGAGAGAGATTTCCCATCCAAATCCTGCATTGTGTAGCTCTGGCTAAGTCTCCTAACACCATGCTTGGAGGTGGTGGTAGGAATGACAAGAGTCCGTTCCACGTTCTTCAACACTCACATCACGTCGTCTCCCTAAGCACAGGTGGAGATTGCTCCATGCCGTTTTGCGAGGACGTGGCCCGACGGTCAGGAGCACAATGGCTTTAGCCACAGGAACACCCGCTTGTGGTGGCTTCTGTGGGCAGAAGTGGCCAGGGAGCCAACTGGCTCAAAGGCACTGCTACAGCGGGTTGCTGAGTTACTAAATTAGTGAGGGTGGTAATAACGGTGTCGATTGTCTGTTGCTTGCTCAGGGCTGGAAGAAGCACAGCTGTATGAAAGTGATTTCCTTCCAGTTGCTGAACTCTGAATCGATTTAGCCCAGAAGAATCCCCCTCCCTTGTCTTCCTGCAATGGAGAGGAAGGCTGGACCCTTCAGCCTCTTACCCAAGCCTTGTTCTGCGTTTCTTCTCTAGATGACCATCCTCCAATAGCCCGCACTGGCATGGACATGAGGGTGCAGCCAGGGGAGCCAGTGATGCTGAGAGGCACAGAGAGCACGGATGACCGAGGGATAGTCAGCTATGAATGGAAACAGGTCCTCGGGGACCCTTCCGTGGAGATGAAGGTAGGGAGCTGCAGGAGCGAAGCAGCTTGCTCAGTGTCACCTGTGGTCTGCCACTAGGTTGGGCTCTCACAGCCACTAACTTAGAGGTCACCTTGTCCTTCCCTCCTTGAGCCAGTCCACCCACGAGCCTGTCCCCAAAAGCTATGGAGATTTTCCTGGACTTTGCCTTCCTTTAGAGCCCAGGTTCCTCCTCCTATTTTATCTGAGCTGGAGCAGAAGTCATGTCTCCTGACTGGCTCCAAGATCTCTGGGGTGTGAACACGGCCTATCTCATAGATGTGACATGTGGCTTGTGGCTTTAGAAGAGCAAAATGATTACTGTTAAACTTCTTCAAAATATTCTGGGAAGCCGTGGAGCTCTTGTGGCACCTTTTGGAAGAATTAGCAAATTAGTGCATCAGGGCCACAGCTGATTTTGAAGGTCAGCAATGACTAGCTCTAGGGTGCTGAGGGGGCTACGGGAATCTGGGAGTGCTCCTTTCCTTTTCCTTCCCTGCAGCCCAACCAAAAGATCTTTCAGGGGAATTAAAAAAAAAAAGAATCCTCAAGTATTATACCTTGTTAACTACATTAAGATGATATATAGTAACACGCTGTTCTCTTGAAACCTAACCCAAAAGGCAGATAGTGTGGGAATGGAGGCCCAATATTATTGGCAAATATAGGAGGAAAATTTGTGTCACTAATATAACAGCTTTCTATTCTGAATTTACTCTCTTTGAGAGACTTCTCAGCAAGCAAAGAAATAGGCACTCATTTCCATCTCTAAAATGAAATATACTTGTCATATTAAAAATGAAAGAGTATATTTTTCCTAAACATACCTTATTCCCTGTGTACTAAGTAAATGTTTCATAATAGGTTTTATTTTTTAAAAACCAGAATAGAAACTACAGATATGTCAGTCCTCTTCAAATATTTTTATTTTCCCTCCTGCCTTCACAAGCCCCAAAATAAGAAATATCTGATTATGCTTGAGGTGCTCTTTCTCTCTGCTGTTCCAGCCCATGGATTTGCAGGGATTGTACAGCACTGAGACATCTGCTTGGGAGTTTCCAGCCAAGCTCCTTTCTTCCTGGTGCACGAACATGGGCCTTGCATGGCTCATCAGAGGTACCTTCTTCTGCAATAAACCTTCCTTTTGCATTCTCAGAAGCACGAAGAAGATCAGGTAGAAATCTCCAACCTACAGCCGGGGACTTACGTCTTCCAGCTTACTGTCACGGACACTGCGCAACAGCAAGACTTCACCAACATCACCATCATGGTCCTGAATTCTGAGCAGACTGAAGGTGAGCCTGAGCCCTCAGATGTCTTAACTGGAGTCCCCAAGCCTGGGTCCTGCTCTGGCGTTGCTGAGGCTCTTCTCAGAGGGGTAGATGGGAAAAGAGCACAACCAAGAGACTGGACTCGCATGGCAACTTTTCCCAGTGAAGCCTGCACCTGACCGGCAGTGGAAGATCTCCCCATTCATAGCAATCTGGTTTAGGGATTTCGCATCCTCTTGCCGAAGAGGTGGCCTGCAGTAACCCCATCCTCTCTGTGCGTCATTGCCCTCTGCTGAGTGACGCCGGAGTAGCTGAAGCCCAAGGTGCAACTGAGGGTGTAAAACAGGAGAACCTGAAAGGTCTTGTTGACTCCATAGGTTTGCTGTGAAGGCCGTAATTCCCTTAAGCTGCAGGATAGGTGGAGCTGTCTGCATGACATTCCAAGCGTCCCAAGTTTATTTATATGTTTTACTTTAATGGCCTTGTTTAATGATCAAAATATTCAGCATTACAAGTACACTAGGAACAAGGAGTTCTTGGACAAATAGTTTACTAGTAGTTAAGCAGGGAATGTCTTCTCCTACCACAGGTACCATAAAAATATTAGAACAGCCATATCAAGTGACGCTAATGGTCCGTTCAAAATCCAGTACGATGCATGCAACAGTGTCCAGAGGTTGGTACTTTGGAAAGAGTACGAGAACACGACATGCTATTAGTAAATCCCTACTGTGCTTGGCTAGTTCCGAAGGAATTTGCAGCTGGGAGAATTTTCTAAGCAGAAGATGGTGGCTTCGTGTTTAATAGCCATGGATGAATCCCATTTTGACCTCATGGAGTCTTTACTCAGCAGCAACATCCTGAATCAGGGAGTTTCAGAGCTTAACTATGTGCTGTGTGGAGAAGCAGCTCCCTTTGTTTTATAGATGTGGGACCTTCTAATTTAATTTTGTCTCCCTGCCTTTCATTTAAGGAAATCTATACCATGATTCCCTGCTCACCTTCTCCATGCTACTCACGGTTTTATAAATCTTTCAGATGAATGTCCACACTGTTGACAAACTTACTTTTGGAAGACTTTCTCCTTTGTATATGTAAAGGCAAAGCAAGCTAACCAGAGCCTTTTATGTTACCTTTCTTGATAGAGCATTGTTTGACTCCTAAGAAGGTGGGCTGGTGTCGGGGTTCTTTTCCACGTTGGTTTTACAACCCAAGCCTTCAGAAGTGTGAGGAGTTCATTTTTGGTGGCTGCAAGCCCAACAAGAATAACTACTTACGGGAAGAGGAGTGTAATCTTGCCTGCAAGAATGTTAGAGGTGAGTCTTCTTCAAAAATCAGCCCCCTCTTTCTCATAGGATTGGGATGACCCTGTGGGCAGCTTCTTGTCTGGCAGCTAGTCAGAGCCTAGAGAGCTGAGGACACCGGACTAATTATGATGGGGTGTCCTAGTCTTACACTGCCAACGTATCTGACCCAGCTCCTGGAGTGCTGCAGTCCTGGTCGGTGTCTCTGGTATGTCTCTGACTGCAAAAACCCTCACCAAATCTTCCTGTTACATCTGAAATCTAAATTCAGAGGGTAGCATTGTGCTGTGAGGGAGCCAGAAGTGCTTCGCTCACAAAATGAAATTAATCTTCCTCCTTGGCACCCTCCTAGCCTGGTCTGAGAATGATTTAGAGCTGCCTCAGGTAAAGGGGCTGAGCCTCTGCCAGGCCTTTTGCGGTGCACAGCTGAAGGAAGAGACAAAAGCCTTGGAAAAGAAAGATCGTTTGGTCATGGTCTAGCTAGTGGTGGGAAGTTCCCCTGTGGTCCTCCAGGTCTGCCTCACATGGGTACTGCCGGGTGGTGGGCATCCGTATGTCCCCTCCCTAGCCACTCCAGGCTTGCTTCCAGAAAATAGGCACTTCTTAGGTGAGATATGAAAGCGAGGTAAAGCTGGTCTTGAGCTGACAGGATGATGTGGTGGTAAATGTATTTTGTTTTTCCCCTTGTCTCCTCAGGTGCTGTCGGTGGGCGTCAACAGCCAGGTGAGCCCCTGTAATCCCGCGGTGCACTCAGGCTCAGTGTCTCACATCCATTCCCGTGGCTTTTGATTAGCACTCACTCAGTGTGGAAAGCGAGGCACTGGAGACTAATTTCCTTATTAAGCATTTCACTTCCACGTCATCACATAATCCAAGTTTGGAATTACCCCTGAAGGTCATCTGGTCCAACTTACTACTCAAAGCAGGGCCAGCTCTGAGTCACGTTGGTTTGCTCAGGACTACATCCAGTCCAGTTTTGGATATCTCTGATTAAGGAGATTTTACATTTTTTCTGGCCAGACTGTGCCCGTACTTGATAATCCTCATTTTAATTTTTTTCCCCTTACGTTGTATCACTTTACCTTGTTCCTGCTTATCCTATTACTGTGTGCCTCCAGAATGAGTCTGTCTCATCTTTTCCATAATTTCATGCTAGGTCTTGTGCTCCAGCCTCTTGCTCGGCCTCTGCTGGATTCACTCCAGTAAGCCAATTTCTTTTGTGCTCTGGAGAGCTCGGGACTGGGCACAGTACTTGGTGCTTGGGACCACCTTTGGAGCAGAGGGGAGTAACCTCTCTTCTCTGTTGGCCCTCACAGCTCGGTGTGCAGGTTTCAGCTTGGCTTTCCTAATTTAGTCCCCCATGCTTGGGCAATGTCTCCGTATTCTTCTGAGTAACTCCTTCTTGCTTCTATCTTCTGTGTATTTCTTTTCTGACAGGAAGCATGGCCGTTCCCAGAGCAATGTTTCTTTCATAAACAATATTTTATTTTCTTTTTTTTTGAGTCTAGGGTGGCATGAAGAGACACCTTAAGCAATCTGCTTTGTTTCTTGTTTGCCAGCCCTATCAGTAGCTTTTAAGGCCTTTGTAAAGCATCTGCGTGGCAGGGAGCAACACTGAATTTTAACGAGCTATCCAAACTGTTTCTGACGCAGTGTGCAACGGGCAGTGCCAGCCCCCCTACTTCAGATGCAAGGATGGCTGCTGCATTGATGCCTATCTGGAGTGTGACGAAACTCTCGACTGTGCCGATGGATCGGACGAGATGTATTGTGAACAATGTAAGTGTTTCAAATTCTGGCTTAGTTGACTTCATATCTGCCCAGGGATGAGTGCAGTGCAAGTTACAGGTGTTGACTTGGTGCTTTTTGGTGCCTTCTGTTCTTGTCTCTGACCCTGTGTTACCTCTTTCCACAGTATTTTATCTGCAGGTTCTGCCATCTCCCATATCTCTGCTGACTGTAAGAGCTCATCTTCCTTCTGGGATGTTTCCTGGTTCCTAAACACCCTTCGACTCTCTTCTCTGCACCTGTCTGTAAGACCTCAGAGCCTGTCCTCCCCCCTGCCTTTCAGTATTTTTTCTCCCTGAATGACCTTACCTCCTCTCCTAGAGCTGGGTGATGGGAAATGAAGCCCTGATTTCTCCCAGTCTGTCCAGTGTCACAGTCCTTTTAACGTTCTCTTGTTATGCTAATGTAAATGCACAGTGGTGAGCTGCCCAAGTCCTCGGTCCCTCTTCCCTTCCTTCCTCCCTCTTCTGACAGAATTCCCATAACCACTCTCCTATAAGTGGGTGCTTTGTTGCCTTTTCAGATTGCAAGCATACAATTCATCTCTCTTGTCCTCTCTTATGTCCTACGCTAGTGCTCTTTCACACTTAAAACCTGGAGTGCTAGCAGTTTCCCCATGCTTCTTTATTGGGAAAAAACAGGAGAGCAGCCTTTGTTTTCCTTAGTTTTGAGTCTGTAGAACGGAAATTGCGAATAGTTTCTTATTACTGCGTTTTATTTTCTCCATCTCCCTCTTGTGGCTTTGAGATATTTAAAAACCTCAAATTGTATCTCCCTTTTCCTGGCTTGGGGTGGCAAAGGAATATGCAGGAAAGCCCTGTCTGCTCCTGTCTGTGTGGAAGGAGGCATTTCTTATGCATTCAACTCATGAGAGAAGTTTTAACGTGTAATTTTCTCTTGCAGATGCTCGTGAGTTCAATAGACTGCAGAAAATCAATGTCACACGTAAGCAAGGTACGTACTATCCATAGCACCTAGGCTGACATCTGCCAGATTTTGGGTTTCATTTCAGTCTCTTGTTTCCTGGTAAAAATGCTTCCCTGTATAACTCCAAAAATAGGTGTAGCATCTGGGTAGTCCCCATACTAAAAATGAGCGAGGGCTTGTTCTCTTGCCTGGGGGACAGCTGGCTTTCCCTCTCCTGCCTAAACTTCTTCCAGCCCAGCTGGCCTCATGCTTATCACCCGCTGGGCACGATAGCTGGCCTGTGCAAAACCCCGCGGCACCTTTTTTTTGTAAATAATACAAACCAAAGCAGTGTAGGGGACACAACAACGGCATAGCATGAGTAATCATATGCCTGTGCTCGACCCCATACCTTTGCCTTGTTGGTGCTAGTGTAGGCAGCGGCACTATCGCTGTACGTGTGTTTCTCCCAAGGCAGCTGAAATGCAGCTTGCCTGTAGAGGAGATGCGAGCCAAACTGTGATTTCTGTGTGTCCAGGCTCTTCACGTTCCATTCTTCCTCCTGAAGAGAACAGATCGTTTTGGCAAGGGATCGAATCTGATGTCTAGCATGACAGGCTCTGATGTTCCTTTCTCCTCCTTGCTAGTCGGGTTTAGTGCTGTTCTGGTGCAAGCAGAAAGTGCTGTTGCTCTGGGAACACACTGCCTGGACTAGAGCACCCCTCCCTTGCTTTGCCAGGTCACTGTGTGGACTTGCCTGATACTGGACAGTGCACCGAGAGCATCCCTCGCTGGTACTATAACCCCTTCTCGGAGAAATGTGACCCTTTCACCTACGGGGGCTGTGATGGCAACAACAACAACTTCCAAGAAGAGGAAGAGTGCATGAAGTCATGTTCAGGCATCACAAGTAAGCTGACATAGCAAGTGCTGGATTTTTACTGATTGAGTTATGAAATTCACTCCAGATTAAATTCTGTGGTCTCCAAGAGGCAGTGATTTAGGAGCTTTCAGTCAAAGCAGCTCTGCTCTCAAACCTTGGCCGTGCCTCACAGCGTTCTTCAACGTGACCGATGGCTTAAAGGGAATGGTGTGTCTCCAGCATCTTTCTGCAATGCAGCTGGTCATTTCTCAGAGCTGGAGAATATTTTGTGTGCTGATGTTGAAAAAGGGAACAGAGCAGGATGACAAAACTAACCATACTAATGGTGTGGCCTCTCTAAAAAGAATCTTAACTTTCTAGCTTGGCTCCAGTTCTCCCCAAGTGGGAGGGGAAAAATTAAGGAAATCCTCAGTGACACATATTAGGCAGAAATTTTAAACAGTCAAGAGGGAAAAGTTTATGCTGTAGAGCTTTGTACATGTAGCTGTGGAGGCCACTAGCTGAAGCAGGGAATTCTGCCAAAGTGTATCTGTTAAGAGGCAAACTGTTGCTGATTTTTTGAAGTGCTGCTCTCGGCCACACTGTGCCTCACAGCCTGCCCCGGGAGCTCCATACCGTGGCTGTAAAGAGGGCTGCTGTATGCGTTCCGTCACTTCCGAGCACTGGAAATATGCTCTTCAGAAATCTGCCTTGTCCCTCGTTCCTGGCCTTCTTTATAATTTTTTTTTCCCCTCTCTCTGCTCCCAATTCAGAAGCAGATGTCATTGGCCGGAGATGGGAATCATTTGAGTCTCAAGGTGCTGTCTTAAGTGAGTAACAGTTTTTCTTACAGTTGATGCTTGTTGCTTTTACCCTGTCCTGAAAAATATCTTGTCTTTCCTTGCAAATAATAGCATTCTCTCCTCATCACCTTTTGAAGCTAAGGGAACAATGTGGGATTTGTGGGGTGCTGTCAATGGCAAGAGATGCTTCTGTGCACTGTGCATCTGGGGTCCAACTTCTCCTGTCTGTGACTCAGTAGCTCATATCAGAGACTCCTGATTTTCCTTCCATCAACTTGCATAAATGCTCCTCTGTTTAACATCCAAAAATGGCAAGTAAAATTCTTCGTAAGGGACTGGTTCATATAAGGACCACTAACTTCTGCAAGAAGTAAGGCCCATGTGGGTGCTTTCTGTGACCACTCCTTGGTGGCCTGCCTGTTGACACATGAAGCCAGGCCAGCGTTGCAGAAGAGCTTAATATTCGTTGGGGTGTCAAATGGCCAAGCCTGTTGAAATCACCAAATAGCCTTTAGAGGGCGTGGTGCATCTGAGAAATGATGGGAATCATAATTTGGGAGAGACAGGCTCACTACTCTGGCCATATCCTTATGCCATGCGGTTGCCTTCTCTATTCTTTGCCCAGATGTGCAGTGACCACCCTGCTGTCAGGCCAGCTGCTGCTCACCGTTTTTTCTTTGCCAGCACAGCTTCTGCCGCAGCTTTTGTCTTTGCTTCTTCCTGACCCCTCCTGCTCCGTCAGAGTTCGTCTAGGAGCCCTGCTGACCTGTTCCTCTATCCCCCGCAGGTGTCTTTGAGGTGGTCATTGCCGTGCTCCTCGGGATCTGCATCATGGTGGTCCTGGTGATCATCGGCTACTTCTTTCTGAAGAAGAGGAAGAAGAACAGCCGACGCCGTCAGCCGGCCACTGCTACCAACTCAACCCTCTCCACCACAGAGGACACTGAGCATCTGTTTTACAGCAGTGCCACCAAACCAGTCTGACCTACACCCTCTCTCTTTCCAGCCCAGCACTAGGGCACTCCCCAAAACTCCCATTTTTAGTCACGGGCCTGTGCCTGAAGGACTTTTTCTCTTCAAAGACATTTGTAGCATCAGGCCAAGATCTAGCCATGATTTGGCAGTACTAGTGCTTGTGATTGTCTTGGCTGAATGGCTGCTCTGGAAAGTGAAGATCTGGGAGCTTTTTGATGCTCTCTGATGTCTATCCCCTCGTAACCTCAAACAATCCAGTGACACTCTGAAGTGCAGCTTTCTTCCTGCTCAAATCCAGAGCACAACTTCACTCAAATTACAGAAGGACACTGGGACTGGATGTGTGTGACATTCACGTTGGTGAATGGTGCAAGCTCACCAGAGCCAGCAATTTTTTTTGTTTGCAGTGCTACTTTCTTCCATCCAACCTCGTATTTTCCTTCCTTTCCCTCAGTCCTCTCCAAGGTGGCCTTGCCTCCCAGCAGTCCTCCTGGTCATGGTGACCCTCCTGAGGGCTGTGAGCTTCACATAACCACCCAGACCGGTTCCAGGAGCTCTGTGACACTCTCAGTGGTTCCTGGTTTTGAGATGGAAGGAAACAGAAATACCTGCTTTAATCACTAGGTTTTTCTTTTTAACAGAAAAGCTCACCTAGATTTTTTTCTGCCTGGCTGCCGTGTTACAGCCTCCTACGTACAGTATGTGTCCAACATTTTCTGTCTGTGAGTCACACTGGTTGCTTAGCCATTGTTCACTCTGAACCCAAACACACTGCAAAAATACCTATTTATTTTCACATGAAAGGAAAGGAAATATCCCTACTTGTCCTGCTGATGATAAGGGAAGGGTGGAAGGACGCAGCTGCCTCAAAGCTGCAGCTTTGATTTTAAGGTTCTCTCCCCCGAGCATGCAGCCTGACCGGAGTCCCCGGCATCTCCCAGAGCGCAGGAGCCAGCTAATGTCTCCGGGCTTCCTCACCCCTGCTGGCCTGTCCCTCCCAGTGCGAGATGAGCCCAGCCCTGGGAGGTCCAGAGCTCATCCCTGGCCCCATGGCAGCCTGTGACATCCCCGCTTTGGCGAGGTCCCGTGTTTGCTGTGAGGTGCTTCCCAGGTCTGTGCTGCTGCACCTCTGTTGTCCAGGCTTGTGCTTCAGGGAGCTGAGGACTTCTGTTGGGGGCAGAAGCTGCTGTTTCTGAAGTGCCTGGTACACTTCTGCTGTGGGGTTGGCACCAGTCCCCACACTTCCAGTGCCTGCTGCTCTTGGAATAACCCTGCTGTGAAAAGGAAATTGATGGAGGTGTGTTTGCACATGTGTGTGTGTGTGTGTGTGTGTAAGAAGCATAAATCTATGTACAGACTTTAGTTTAAATGCTTGAATGCTTTCAGGGCCGAGGGCAGAGCAGCTTTGTAAGGCTTTGGTGGAGCCATGCCCAGCTCAGGGCACGGCTCAGGTCCTCTCCAGGAGAATGCAGTGCTAAAAAAGCTGCCTCGTTGAGCCAGTGCCTGGGCTGGAAGGGAAGAAACCACTGCCCGCAGCCTGCTGGCAATCTGACCGCAGCTTCTCCCCGGCACAGGGCACCTGCCTCAGTGTCCCCAGGGCTGGTCAGATTCCTCCACGGCTTTTCATGACCTGTCTCGTATCATTTCTTCCATCTCTTTGTTTTTCCCACAGCCTATGCCATATAAAGGTAACGTCTTGATTTTTTTTGTTTTGTTTGTGTGCTCACTCCGATAATAAAAAGGAATTGTTTGTCTTATCTGACTTGGGAGTGGTGTCTGAGCAGCAGTGACCCGTGGAGGGAGCAGGTACCGTTCCCATGCCTGCAATCTCGCACTCTTTCATCTGCCCAGGCTTGTGGTGGCTCCGTGGAGAGCGCTCTGGTGCTGCTGCAGCAGCAGCGGTCCCATGGCTTGGGAAGGGTTGGGAGTGGGGCATGCAACGCATGTGGATACCTGGAGAGGCAACAAACGTCGTGTGATGTTGCTGGGAGTGAGATCATTATCCACTAAGTCACCCAGAGAGCAGGGCAGGGTGTAACCTGAAACTGGGTTCCAGCTGGTCAGACTGGTTTGGGTCTGAAACCAAAAGCAGACACTATTCTTCAAACAGGAGTTGCTCTAGCTGTCTCCAGGCTGTGATCGCTCAGGCACTGCAACAAAAAGTGAGCTCAATGTAAATTCGACTAATCGGCAATGGATATGCATGGGAACTGGGCGAACCCGCTCCTGCCTCACCGACCGGGCAGCACTGCACCTCTGAACTCCACTCTGCAGTGGGAGAGCTTTCTCCCCGCTGCTCAGTTTGCTCTGGCACCACAAGCTCTCTTCTGCCACGCTTGTGCCAGCTCTCCCGTCCTGCTGTTTCCAGCTACTTATGTCCATGCTATCCCCCCCATCCCCTGAAGAGCTGCCCCAGGAGACGTGAGTTGGGCAGCCACAACTTCTCTGGGCAACCTGTTCCAGTGCCTCACCACCCTCACAATAAAGAATTTCTTCCTAATATCCAATCTAAATCTACCCTCTTTCAGCATGCAAAGCACTTTCTCCTTCTGCTCAAAAAGCCAGAGGACAGTGAGAGGAGGGCTTGGCAGGCAAAGGGGTCAGATCCTGCTTCTGCTTAGCACCCATCAGGCACCCTCTGCCACAAGGGGAGCTGCTGGGGGGGTGCAGTGGGGACAGGGACTGTGAGGAGCACCGCTATTTTGGTAAAATGTGACCCATGGAGGCTCAGACACGCGGCTGGCACTGGGCCCAGACCCAGGCAGCAATGCCATGCTGCACGCCCACACCTCAAACCGTGCACGCCGGATGTCTGCGCTCCCTAGGTTTTGCCAAGCGGGGTCACTCGGGCTGCGCCAGCAGCTCCATCCCTCCTGGGAGAACTGGGGAAAGGCCCTGTGCCCCCCTAGCCTCCCACCTGCCTCCAGCCCGTGCACCCCCTCCATAGAAATAAGGGTTTCTGCTCTCCGGGAAATCCCAGCTCTTTAAAATGGGTTTGTTTTTTCAGAGCCCAGGTTTCAGAACTTTCTGCAACGTGAAAATGCCCGTCCTCAAAAAACAGAACTGAAGGCTGCCTCGCTGTCAGCTGGTTAAGAAACATTTTTCAGTGAGAATTGAGCTGCCTTGTTTCCCTGGAGGTACCTGATGGTGAAGCAAATCCTTGCTACTCCCCTGGCAGTGGCCAGCAACAAGCAGTTACAGGAAGTTGTTTTGGGGCAGAGCTGCACCTCCTGGCGCGGAGATGCCAGCGTGTCCCCCCTGAGCCCATCCCCCCAGCACAGCCGCTCTGTAGTATGGGAGACCCCTTGTCCTTGCAGTGGGTGCTGGCAATGTCTTCCCTACTGAGGTCAGTGTTTTTGGGGGGCTGTTTGTATGGTTTGCAGAGCCGAGTCTCAGGAGCTGCTTCCCACCGTGCAGCTCCACGGGGGGAAACCTGCTGCCTCTTCACAAGTGTCTCATCTGACTTGGATGAAAGACCAACGAGCCTCTCATCCCTTCCTGATGAGCGTGACTTTTAATCCATCTTCTTCAGGAAGGAGGGCATGGCAAAGATTTTGGCCGAGTTATGTGGGCTGGAGGGGACCTCTGAGGACCTCTCTGTCGTTGCCAGGCTGGATGCAGGAAGCATTAGCTCACAGCTAAATATCGGGTGTCTCCGGCTTCCCCATGGCACAATGGCTCTGCAAATAAACACAGCGGCCGGCCCGGCACGACGAGGGATGGCTCCACAGTGGCAGGCCAGAATATTGTCCCCTGCACAAAGGCCATGGTGATGTGATACTTTCTGATAAGTTGCTTCGGCTCTCCAGCCTAATTTATTGCTTCAGGAAGAAATTATTTTGGCTTTGAGGTCAAACAGTTCATTCAGGTTGAAAAGAAAGCTCTAAAGCCAGGGGGAAGAAGGAATGGAGTTGTCTGCAAGCTCTGCATAATGTAAAGAGACATCGGATGTCGTTTCTCCGCCTCTTACTGCAAACATTAAAAATTATCTGACTTGCTCCTACTGCAGGTTCTTTGAGCTCCTAAAGAGAGCAGACGCAGATCTGAAGTGCCACAGCTAGACCAGAACGTGGTAAGGAAACAATGGTCAATGAAGTAGGACCCATGTGGGAAACAGCCTGTGAAAACCTTCCAGACACTCTATTTTTTCTCCTTGAAGAAATTCAGAGAGGCACTGGAAATACTCTGCCTTGGTCATCAAGCACTGTGTTACTGTCATAGCTTATGGTTGAGGGGAAATACAGTCAGCTATAGAAATTGTAGCAGATTTTATCTCCTCTGCAGCATGTAAAAGAGCATGGAGGAACCTTTCTGCAAGGTAGCTTGGCCGACCAGTGTCACGGGGAAATGAGTGTTTACTGGGCAAGGTGCCACCCGAGGCGTGACAGAGTTTCTGTGGCCCTTAGTCAATGGTCGCCTCTCCGAGATGTGCTCATCCCCAGCTGGGTCAGGAGTTTGGAAACTTGCTGTCCTTCCTGTAACAGCTCTGGGAGATTTCACAGAGGCCAGATCCAACATTTAATTAACGTCTTTGCGAAGTCGCCCAGAGCCATCCTCCATGAGAAGATATACAAAATGACAGCGAGTGGCTGACAGGAGCTGCAGAGGCCAGGACTTCTGCTGGAGCCAGCCAGGTGCTCCGGCAAGAAGAGGGGAAATTTTCCACAAACCTCACTGCAGACAAAGTGTCTTGTGTCTTTGTTCTCTGCCCTGACACACCTGACCCGCATGCCGGCTGCTTCAGGATCGTTACAAAATATTTGTGACCCGTCTCCACGTGAAGCATTGGCCCAGGAATTTGAGCTGACAGGACTCCCCCAGCCAGAAACTCTTCTTTAAATGAGGTGATGGTGTCCCTCTCACGTAAGCATCTTGGGAGCCCTTCCCGAGCTGCATCCCCGGGGGGGACCTGAGCTCTGCCGCCTGCCCCCTGTCTGTGCCCGGTTTTATTTGTTATGGGGTTATTGTTCAGTCCAAGCAGCTGCGTGGTGTGGTTTACCAGCTCCTTTGAGACTCCCACAAGAGGGGGCAGCAATATCTTAACATCCCACCCTGTGTTGCCTTGGTCGCTTCACTGTCAAACCAGTAAGGACATTGTGCACTGCTGGAGCTGGGTGCTAAGATGTGACATGTTGTCGGACTAGGAGCTCCACGAGATGTGAGGTTCTGTTCCCTTCCACTCCCTCTCTGGTAATGCTGTCGTTCGTATTACCATACTGCCCCTGA